AAACGGTTCTGTACAATTTAACTCTTTCTCTTTCTCATGGTATATGTTATTTTTTTTATCTTGAAAAAAATCCACGTACTTTCGGCTTGGAAAATGTGAACTTTTCATCATTTTCCTGTGTAAACGCACCGATTGAGCGCCCTCGCGTCAACTCTTTTGACTGTAACTCCTGACTAGAGTATCAAATTGTGTGGGGGTAAACGGAATCGAATAGCTTAGCTCCTCCTCTTTCCTTACATGTTAAACTTGTTATGATTAGGTTGAAAAAAACCGCCGTACTTTTCACAAAGAAAAAAAGTGGCCAATGACAACATTCGATCGATAAGGCATCGTTCGAGACTTACATCAATGTACCATTGCTTACCACGTGTTTCGTGATCTTGGACTTTGCTCATCACCTGTTTTTCAAAACACATTTTCTCCAATTCTACTTTAGATAAGACATTTAAAAACTATCCATTTGTAAATCAGTTATCTGGCATTAAAACTGTGGTCTTTTTAGGAGTTAATTTCATTTTAAAATAATGTAATTTTGGATCTGAATACTGTTCACTTCAAGGCAGTTATAGAAATTTGTGATGGAAAGAACGTGCGCTTGTTTATTGGGCTGTACCATTTTGTTTGTGGGGAGGATATCTATATGCATATACACGTTAGTGTATACGTCAGATTTCTTGAAGAATGCAAAAATGAAATAAGATGTTTATATCAAGTTTGACAAAATCGGACAAGAAGTTGTACTACTAGGCACACCTTCACATCGATATGTGCACAAATCCTACATTGTCATGTATAGGTTTGTTTTAACCATTTTATGAATGGAATGTACCGGGCCACATTTTAGGGTTGAACGCACAGCCACACAGGGCCAGCGTTAATCCGATTATGTAGCCCTGGACCTCTGTGTGGTACTCTGCGCGCCAGATTTAAACTGTAAAATTAAGTGAACAAAAGTGGGGGTAGCAAATTCATATATAAAACTACCAAGTTGTTACGAAATACCTTAATAGGATGTTGGTAATAAATGACAGTCTAAAGCATACTGTAAAATTAGGGCATCTGGTGTGAAGTCATTTTCAAATGGTACTTTTGTATACATTTCCAACTTCGGTGGTCGGCCGACCACCGTTGAAAAAACCTAACCTAATTTACCATTTTTTTCAGTCCAAATTTTGTTTGCTATTTGTTCCATGCATGTTCATGAACGGGTGCAGGCAAGCTAGACTGGTTCCCTTACCTTACAATTTCCGGCATTTTTTATCCTTCATCTGTAGTGGAGTCTGGGAGCCAGACTACTTGAACATTTTTGTTTTTCTTGGTTTTTCCAGCATTTTCGAACAAGCCACGAGGGTACATTGCTCCTTCTTCACATCATAATGGTTTTCTTATCCACTTTACACATGATGCTTCCTTAACGCAAACCTCCCATTATTTGATCTTCCGGTACTAAATGTTCACTGCATTTCTGTCTAATGAGTGTATCAAATATAAATCTCCATTTTTTTTAAGCTTCATGTCCACACCATTTGCTTTTCATAATGTCATTGTATATTTATATAATATAAAACTGTGGTGCATTATCAATTTTTGCAGTAATTATAGAGACAACAGAAATGTCAGCTGAAGAGGACATAATCTGTTAAAGATTGCAAACTGTAGACTGTATAGACGAGTATGTTTACTAAAAGAACTATAAAGTAAAGTAGGTGCTCAAAAGATTAATTTTATTTTAGGTCTTGTCGTAATTAGAATCTGTTGTTTGGGTTATTAGTCTGCACTGGAATTATTCTAGAAATTAAATTGTTCTAATGTGCACAAAACATGTACAAGTTTAGTTTACCATTTTGATTAGGGACAAAAGTCACAATGAGTAACATTGCCACGTTATGCTAAGTGACAGGACTTTCAGTTTAGTAATGCTGTTTGTGGTTACTTCACATTTTCAATGTACATGTATCAAATTGTTGCACATTTTTCCTTCAACTTCATCACTGGCGGTGACAGTTAACACTGAACTTTTGAAGAAACAGATTTATATACTTTGGTTTTTTTAAGATAACGAATGTCAGTGATGAATTGCGAACAAATAAAGCAGAAGCTGAATAGTGGATCAACTTTTATTTTCTCAGAAGTAAAATATGATCAAATAGCGTGCTTGTGGTGGATTGCAGAATAAAATACTTTATTTTTTAAATTTGACCCATGTCATTTTTCTCTCTAGCTTTTCTGAACTTGCAAGGATACCAGGAGATGTTTTCTTTTTGTACCCTATTTATATATAAAAAGGAGTTTAAAACAAAACATGATAAAGTCGCTCTTTCCATTTATACTTTCATTTCCTTTTTATACTTTCCTATACATGTAATACAAAACACATACTCCGCATGCCAAACGAAGAGCCTGCAAACGTGTATGCCCTTTATACACCACCCCAGCGGAGAAGGAGACCAGGAAGACAACTCACATCATACCTAACTTGTATTCAACGCTTGCTTGGAGAAAGTGATGGCATGCCGCGACCAGACCAAATCGCAACACTTGCCCAAGATCGCAATAAATGGAAGAAGCTTGAAGTCGACTACTCCGCAGCCGAAGGATGATGAATACCAAACAATTCCTAGAAAGTGAAATCAATAAGTTTTCTACAAAAAGTCATAAAAGGAAAGCGAGAGGTGAAACAGATGGTGCAGCTTGACTAAAATGAATGTTGGGAATACTTAGGAACCAATATTGGTTATTACAGTCAATCTGGGTTTTTTTTTTAGAGCGTATAGGCTTAGGAATAACCTTCTTGGAAAAAATGACAACATTCATTGAGGGGGAAAAACTCTCGGAATGCAACTGATTTCAGTATTTCAACAAGCCAATGTTGCAATCAACAAAATTAAATTAATGCTTGAGATCTCAACATTGTGGCAAAGCTACCCATTGAACACAGATTAAATCAAATCAGGCTTTGCCCTTCATCGACATTTTAACACTGTTACCTCCCGAGTGAAAGTTGGAAATATCACTCTGGTGGGACTCGAACCCACGACCTCCCGCTTTCTAGTGCAGATGTCTTACCACTCGACCACCGAGCTAGATCGGTTGGCTGGTTCGAATCTGATGTACATAGCAGCGGGTACCGCATAAATGCGGCGAACACAGATTGGAAACAACATGCATTATATGGATGAAAAATCTCAATTGCCGAGTTAATACAGAAGGCGTTGGAGCAAGTCATTTAATATAATATCACCTTTTAAACGCAATGACCCTAAAACCTGTTTCGTCCCCAAAAAAGCAAGCAATTTATTTTGTATTCCGACTGTTTGGAACAACAAAGAAAATGACACATAATACTTGTTTCAACAGCTGTCAACAACTGTAGTACACAATACAACCCTGCTTTGGCAAACAAAATGATTTATAAAATCTTTTTTTTTAAGACGGGCCTTCAAAAGGACTTTGTTTAATATTTTTAACTTTTAAACTGGTTTATCGCTGGTGATGTTGGAAGACAATTGTGACGACGACTCTCGAAATTGTAATTTGTTGGGCGAAAGTGGTTTTAGGGTCATTGCGTTTAAATGGTGATATAACAGATTGAGCTATTTCATAATTTTTTCATCTGAAAGTAGTTTATGAAATTAGCTTTCCAGTCATTCTTTTTTGTGCTACATATATTTTTAAATATGAAATACATTTTTGGGGGGTTTGGGTTCCGCTTTCTTGACTCGCCCTGTATATCATCATCGGAGGTGAGATGGCCGGTTTGAGAAAAGTCGTGACCTTGACGCGACAGTTCGTTGCAAAAGTATTTGTATATCAAGGTATTAATAATTTATCATTATTTTTTGTATTGATTATTTAAGAGGGAAATATCGGGGAGAATAGTGGAGAAAACTAACCATCTTGGCGAGGAGGATATCATTTAAAAGGGAATTATGGATGAGAATCAACATCTTAGCTAGGAGGGTATTTTGTAGAAGGAATTATGGAGGAGACTAACCATCTTGGCTAGGATGATATTTTTTAGAAGGGAATTATGGAGGAGACTAACCATCTTGGCTTTGAGGATTCTTTTAGAAGGGAAATATTTAGGAGACTAACCATCTTGGCTTCGAGGATATTTTTTAGAAGGGAATTAAGGAGGAGACTAACGATCTTGGCCAAGAGGATATTTTTAGAAGGGAATTATGGAGGGGACTAACCATCTTGGCTGGGATGATATTTTCTAAAAGGGAATTATGGAGGAGAACCATCTTGGCTAGGAGGATATTTTTTAGAAGGGAATTATGGAGGGACTAACCATCTTGGCTTGGATGATATTATTTTAGTAGGGAATTATGGAAAGGACTAATCATCTTGGCTTCGATGATATTTTTAGAAGGGAATAATGTAGGAGACTAACCATCTTGGCTAAGAAGATATTTTTTTTAGAAGGGAATTATGGAGGGGACTAACCATCTTGGCTTGGATGATATTTTTTAGAAGGGAATTATGGAGGAGAACCATATTGGCTTGGATGATTTTTTGGAGGTGATTCATGGAGAATGTCAAGGATCTTCATGAGGAAAAAAATTTGTAGATGGAAAGTTGAGGTTTATTCAATGAACAATTAAACTGTATTAATTCATTGTTACTTAAAGATGGTCTTCCAGAGAGGAGAAAACGGAAGTCGATAAGGGATGTCACTAAGATAATTGGAGAGCAAAGATCGATGTCATCAGGTAGATGTCTTTCTTGTGCTTCTATACCAAGGTTTTAACTTCAATTTAATAAATCATAATGGAGGAGACTAACCATACTGGCTAGGAGGATATTTTTAAGAAGGAGTTAATAAACAGACAAACCATTTTGGCGAGGAGGATATTTTTAGAGGGCATTATTAAGAAGACCAACTAGGATGATATCTTTCAGACAGAACTATGAAGGCTAATCTTCATGGCGTGGAGGATATTTATATTGGGGACGACTGATGGTGAAGTAGGAATATTAAAACTATAACACCAATATTAGTTATTTCTAGAGTAAAACAAACACATTTTATTTTAAAGAATGTAAAAAACCCGTAACTTTTTTGACACAAATTACCAATACAGTGAAATCTCGATAAGTCATACCTCAAGGAAACAGGTTCAAAATTTGACTTAAGCAGAGTTTTGAGTATAGTAGGGTTGTATATCATTGTTATACTACTGAAGGCAATGGATTCTTTGTTTGACTGAACAGTTGTTTTGAGTTATCAGAGTTTGACTTATCGAGATTTCACTGTATAAATAAAATACAAAATGATATAATGATGTTAATGAATTATTAAGATCAATATACTTTAAGAAAAATTAAAATGTGATGGTGAGACCAACAATTTTTGTTTGTTTGAAGAGGCAGTTCAGATGTATTTACATGGTATATGAAAACAAAATAATATAATTGTTTTTCACTGGATTTATATATTACAGGAATTTTCAATGAATTTGGTGAAGGGATGTATTTGGTGTGCGAAGATTATCGACAAGGCAAGTACACAATATGCATTTTTCAAGTTCTATTAAAATAAAAGTTCTGTTATAATAAAAGTCTCTTATTTAAGGGGAATGCGTTTATCTAGGCAATTATAATTATTTTGCCAAAGTAGATCATTCTAATGGGGGATGGTTTTTCTAATCTTCTTTAAGTTTATTGAAAAATACCTTTCTTTAATTATTAAAAACAATTCATGCCTTGTGGATAACCAAGGGCGCTGTTTCTGTGATGTCATTTCAGGGAGACACTGTTCTTATTATCTGTTACTCTGTAGAAATTCTGAACCAAAATTGTTTTCACTGAAATATTTATGAGAAAGGTTTGTTCAATGGCTTACTGCCATGTTTTGACATAACAACGAATTACTAAAGAAAAAATTATGACAACGAGATATCCAAATTTCTGGCAACTTTTGGTGCAACACTAATTGCAACGTTGTGGTTTCTGTCTGATATGACATCACACTTTCGCTCTTTAATATGGAAATTTGTATTTGAAACAAAAGAAACTATTTATTTACAAAAATAACATGTAGAATTGCAGAAGGCCGAACAGTCCAATAGTCGAGCCATTTTTGCCTCTTCAATTGTGTTGTAGGTTTGTGTGCTTAGTCTATGGGAGAGAATTAAACAGGGACAAAGGGAAATATAAAGCATTGTTCTCGGGAGTATAGTAAAACAAGAGTGAGTGCACTGTGTGTGTTATTTCTGTGACATTCGCCTTTAATGATGCTTGAAAAATGTTAGTATTGTGATTGGAAGTAGAGTGTACATATGTAAAATTTTGGAATGGTTTCTGGTAAAAAATGTAATTTATCGTATTGTAATGTATGGTGGTTGATGGAAATGCATAGGTCTGAGAAGTATACTGTGATTAGTATGGATTTTGGATAGATGTGGGCGAGTAGTTTGATGAGATGTGTACGGTTGAACTCTTTGGTGTTTCACATGATGATGAAGCTGTCGTCCATGTATCTTTGAAATATAAAAATGTTTGGATGTTTGTGATGATTATGGAAGTTGTATTCTCTGGGAGCTAATATGAGGTTTGAGAGTTGTGCTGAGTGGTATGATCCCATTTGTATCGCCAGATTCTGTTGAAGATGTGATTACCTATTTTGAAGTTGCTGTAATTGCTGGTGAATGTATGTAGTTCTTTGAAATATGTGTGAAATTCTGGAGGGTATTCCGGCAAGGTGGCAAGTTTGAGAAGTGTGTTATAGATATCTTGTGGGGCATTCTAGCATGGGGAAATACTCATAGTACTTATCTGAATAAATTATTAATAGTACAGAAGAAGCCGGTGAGAGTCATCACAAATTGCGGTTGCAGAGAACACTCTGCGCCCCTAATTAGACAATATAAAACACTAAATATTTTTGAACTGTACAAATACCATCTAGGAATCCTAATGTTGAAATTCGAAGGTAACCTACTACCTACAAATATCAGAGCCATGTTTGTGAGGAATCTAGATGTCAATTTACATAACACACACACAAAATTCACATTGGTAAGGCTAGGACTGCATCATTCATGAAAACAGTTAGACACCAAGGTCCCCTTCTCTGGAATCAGCTTACCCCTATACCCTTCTTCCGGACTGTGCATAAATTCAAAAGATATCTGAAAAATCTACTTATTTCCGGTATTATATAAGACATGCTTCCATAATATTCACATCTGTATAAGTCACATTCTATTATAATCAAATGTTATATTGTAAATCGGTATATTTTCAATTTCCTTCAGTTTTTCTACTATTATGCCAAGTAATTAATTAATTAATTTATTGATCACTGATTTAATTTATAGTTTTAATTATTGTTTATTTCATAAGTTATTCACAAACGGGACCAGGCTCTGTATAAGCTTAGGCTTTTTTTCCTGGTTCCCACATCTGTCACCATTTATGTTTAATTGATCAAAGTGTTGTACATGTATTAGCATTCTATTAAGTTTAGTTATTGTTGTAGTAAATAAACTGTTGCATTAGCATTATTTTAATTTGTGGCAAATGGAAAATAAAACAATACAATGCAATATGATGTTGGTATGTAAGCTTTCAAATTCTAATGTAATCAAGAAAAGGTCGTCGTGCTAGTGGATGTCTAGGGTCTTAAGAGCTTCAACATATGTAGTGAATTTGTAATAATTGGCCATGGAAAATGGTTTTTAAAAAATATTGTTTAAAAACGCAATAAATATTAAAATGTTGAGTCTCACTTCACCAATGTCAGTGTCAGCTGAAGAAGATGTAATCTTTTCCCTCAACGAGGTTTAGAGAAGCCAAGTTGCTCTCAAAACTGCCACCAGTTAGGTCCTGATTGTCAAAAAAAAATTACAAAGTTATTTCATGTTTAAGCGTTATTATATTGAAAAATGTTGATAGCAGCAGCTGCATACGTTCAATGCTACTGCTGGTCTCGTAATGATGAGAATCTATTTTTTTTGTTATTGGTTTAAATTGGAAATGGAATTACTCTAGAAATGATACTTTTCTAGTTTACACAAAACATGTACAAATTAAGGTAATCATGAAATTCCTCATTCAGTTTGATTTGGGGAAAAATGGTAATTAGTAACAATGTCAGATTATGTAAATGGTAGTGTATCCTCGACCCTCCATTATCTGCGCAGGTAACGCTTGCATACGCGCGCGTTGTCACACACAAATTCAAGATAAATGCGTAGAAAAAGGACCGCGTAGCCTTAGGGGGTCTGACAATACAAAAATGTACAAAACAAATTTAATTGTGGACAGAAATCGACAATTTTTCTGCAGAACGTTTTTAAAGGAATAAGACACCTACCATTTTGACACAGATGATAAAAGGTGGTGCAGGCTGACTGAAATGAACAATCAGCACACTAGGCTTTGGAATAACCTGCATGAAAAAAAGGAATTTTATTTGTAATAAAAAGCCGTATCCTCTATGAGAGATCCCGTTTGCTATTTCCCAGGTTTGCAGCATTCCTTCTGTTGCTAGCATCGTGACTTTGGGCGTGATCCATGGCTACATGGCATATAAAGGTTTAGACTAGCACACCTTGAACAAAGACATTGACAAAATGGGGAACCGCCAACACAGCTCAGTTGGTAGGGCACTGGAATGGCAGTCCAGAGGTCAGGGGTTCAAACCCTGCTCCAGTCAATTTCTTTGTTCAACTATTACAAATGATGTTTGAACAATGCAGTAACTTCACTCTGAGAGGACTCTTAGCCGGTTCAAGCCGGGATTATTTTGACAAGAATGGAACGAGGCGCTGGAAACCATCACCCTTGTGCAGCACACTCATGTTTCAGGCCTCGCTCGCTGCAAGCGGGTCGCTCACGGATATTTGTGTGTGTGTTTATCTGTCATCCGTTCCAAATACTGCAAAACCTTTGCAGATATACACATTATCCAGCACAAACTGGTTAAGAAAACTGTGAGATCAGTGTTTCTAGCTAATGAGGTCTTTTTAAGACAAAACATTACATTTAATACATGTTAAGGCTATTATCAACAAAAGAGTTACGCTTTTCATGCAGCGCCTACTCAATTTCGACTTGTTGGAGACAATAAAGCTCCCAAAATATAAGAATTTTCAGTCGCACAATTTCAGACATTTTCCACAAGTGTTCCAAATGGCTAGATCGCAGGTTTCGAAAATAAACTCTTAGACTTCAACACAGAGACAAGGGCCCACACTACATCCAACAAAACAACACGGTTGTCCTGCCCCCAGATCTGAAAAGAGGACAGTGATCCAACTTTTCAGACCCGAGTTCAAGAGGGGGTAAAATTTACAACTACTTAACTTTGAAATCGACAAAAGCTGCCCGACATCTTCTTCACCAGCAACCCTCATCTTCTTCCTCATGGACCTGCACAGGACACACGGACAAAAAGACAGAAAAAAAGACTGCCAAATATAGGCAGGACTATGTTAAAACCAGTCACAAATGTACATCTTTCAAAATTCAACACATACATAAATAACACATACACATGCAAAGAAAGAGTTCACTTCCAGCCAGACGCGATGCTATTTCGTTATGCTTTTCATGCTGCGCCCACTCAATTTCGACTTGTTGGAGACAATAAAACTCCCAAAATATAACAATTTTCATTCGCACAATTTCAGACATTTTGCGCAAGTGTTCCAAATGGCAAGATCGCAGGTTTCGGAAATAAACTCTTAGACTTCAACACAGAGACAAGGGCCCACACTACATCAAACAAAACAACACGGTTGTCCTGCCCCCAGATCTGAAAAGAGGACAGTGATCCAACTTTTCAGACCCGAGTTCAAGAGGGGGTAAAATTTACAACTACTTAACTTTTAAATCGACGAAAGCTGCCCGTCATCTTCTTCACCAGCGACCCTCATCTTCTTCCTCATGGACCTGCACAGGACACACGGACAAAAAGACAGAAAAAAAAGACTGCCAAATATAGGCAGGACTATGTTAATATCAGTCACAAATGTACATCTTTCAAAATTCAACACATACATAAATAACACATACACATGCAAAGAAAGAGTTCACTTCCAGCCAGACGCGATGCTATGATTTCGTTATGCTTTTCATGCTGCGCCCACTCAATTTCCACTTGTTGGAGACAATAAAGCTCCCAAAATATCAGAATTTTCAGTCGCACAATTTCAGACATTTTGCGCAAGTGTTCCAAATGGCAAGATCGCGGGTTTCGGAAATAAACTCTTAGACTTCAACACAGAGACAAGGGCCCACACTACATCAAACAAAACAACACGGTTGTCCTGCCCCCAGATCTGAAAAGAGGACAGTGATCCAACTTTTCAGACCCGAGTTCAAGAGGGGGTAAAATTTACAACTACTTAACTTTTAAATCGACGAAAGCTGCCCGTCATCTTCTTCACCAGCGACCCTCATCTTCTTCCTCATGGACCTGCACAGGACACACGGACAAAAAGACAGAAAAAAAAGACTGCCAAATATAGGCAGCACTATGTTAATATCAGTCACAAATGTACATCTTTCAAAATTCAACACATACATCAATAACACATACACATGCAAAGAAAGAGTTCACTTCCAGCCAGACGCGATGCTATGATTTCGTTATGCTTTTCATGCTGCGCCCACTCAATTTCCACTTGTTGGAGACAATAAAGCTCCCAAAATATCAGAATTTTCAGTCGCACAATTTCAGACATTTTGCGCAAGTGTTCCAAATGGCAAGATCGCGGGTTTCGGAAATAAACTCTTAGACTTCAACACAGAGACAAGGGCCCACACTACATCAAACAAAACAACACGGTTGTCCTGCCCCCAGATCTGAAAAGAGGACAGTGATCCAACTTTTCAGACCCGAGTTCAAGAGGGGGTAAAATTTACAACTACTTAACTTTTAAATCGACGAAAGCTGCCCGTCATCTTCTTCACCAGCGACCCTCATCTTCTTCCTCATGGACCTGCACAGGACACACGGACAAAAAGACAGAAAAAAAAGACTGCCAAATATAGGCAGCACTATGTTAATATCAGTCACAAATGTACATCTTTCAAAATTCAACACATACATCAATAACACATACACATGCAAAGAAAGAGTTCACTTCCAGCCAGACGCGATGCTATGATTTCGTTATGCTTTTCATGCTGCGCCCACTCAATTTCCACTTGTTGGAGACAATAAAGCTCCCAAAATATCAGAATTTTCAGTCGCACAATTTCAGACATTTTGCGCAAGTGTTCCAAATGGCAAGATCGCGGGTTTCGGAAATAAACTCTTAGACTTCAACACAGAGACAAGGGCCCACACTACATCAAACAAAACAACACGGTTGTCCTGCCCCCAGATCTGAAAAGAGGACAGTGATCCAACTTTTCAGACCCGAGTTCAAGAGGGGGTAAAATTTACAACTACTTAACTTTTAAATCGACGAAAGCTGCCCGTCATCTTCTTCACCAGCGACCCTCATCTTCTTCCTCATGGACCTGCACAGGACACACGGACAAAAAGACAGAAAAAAAAGACTGCCAAATATAGGCAGCACTATGTTAATATCAGTCACAAATGTACATCTTTCAAAATTCAACACATACATAAATAACACATACACATGCAAAGAAAGAGTTCACTTCCAGCCAGACGCGATGCTATGATTTCGTTATGCTTTTCATGCTGCGCCCACTCAATTTCCACTTGTTGGAGACAATAAAGCTCCCAAAATATCAGAATTTTCAGTCGCACAATTTCAGACATTTTGCGCAAGTGTTCCAAATGGCAAGATCGCGGGTTTCGGAAATAAACTCTTAGACTTCAACACAGAGACAAGGGCCCACACTACATCAAACAAAACAACACGGTTGTCCTGCCCCCAGATCTGAAAAGAGGACAGTGATCCAACTTTTCAGACCCGAGTTCAAGAGGGGGTAAAATTTACAACTACTTAACTTTTAAATCGACGAAAGCTGCCCGTCATCTTCTTCACCAGCGACCCTCATCTTCTTCCTCATGGACCTGCACAGGACACACGGACAAAAAGACAGAAAAAAAAGACTGCCAAATATAGGCAGCACTATGTTAATATCAGTCACAAATGTACATCTTTCAAAATTCAACACATACATCAATAACACATACACATGCAAAGAAAGAGTTCACTTCCAGCCAGACGCGATGCTATGATTTCGTTATGCTTTTCATGCTGCGCCCACTCAATTTCCACTTGTTGGAGACAATAAAGCTCCCAAAATATCAGAATTTTCAGTCGCACAATTTCAGACATTTTGCGCAAGTGTTCCAAATGGCAAGATCGCGGGTTTCGGAAATAAACTCTTAGACTTCAACACAGAGACAAGGGCCCACACTACATCAAACAAAACAACACGGTTGTCCTGCCCCCAGATCTGAAAAGAGGACAGTGATCCAACTTTTCAGACCCGAGTTCAAGAGGGGGTAAAATTTACAACTACTTAACTTTTAAATCGACGAAAGCTGCCCGTCATCTTCTTCACCAGCGACCCTCATCTTCTTCCTCATGGACCTGCACAGGACACACGGACAAAAAGACAGAAAAAAAAGACTGCCAAATATAGGCAGCACTATGTTAATATCAGTCACAAATGTACATCTTTCAAAATTCAACACATACATAAATAACACATACACATGCAAAGAAAGAGTTCACTTCCAGCCAGACGCGATGCTATGATTTCGTTATGCTTTTCATGCTGCGCCCACTCAATTTCCACTTGTTGGAGACAATAAAGCTCCCAAAATATCAGAATTTTCAGTCGCACAATTTCAGACATTTTGCGCAAGTGTTCCAAATGGCAAGATCGCGGGTTTCGGAAATAAACTCTTAGACTTCAACACAGAGACAAGGGCCCACACTACATCAAACAAAACAACACGGTTGTCCTGCCCCCAGATCTGAAAAGAGGACAGTGATCCAACTTTTCAGACCCGAGTTCAAGAGGGGGTAAAATTTACAACTACTTAACTTTTAAATCGACGAAAGCTGCCCGTCATCTTCTTCACCAGCGACCCTCATCTTCTTCCTCATGGACCTGCACAGGACACACGGACAAAAAGACAGAAAAAAAAGACTGCCAAATATAGGCAGCACTATGTTAATATCAGTCACAAATGTACATCTTTCAAAATTCAACACATACATCAATAACACATACACATGCAAAGAAAGAGTTCACTTCCAGCCAGACGCGATGCTATGATTTCGTTATGCTTTTCATGCTGCGCCCACTCAATTTCCACTTGTTGGAGACAATAAAGCTCCCAAAATATCAGAATTTTCAGTCGCACAATTTCAGACATTTTGCGCAAGTGTTCCAAATGGCAAGATCGCGGGTTTCGGAAATAAACTCTTAGACTTCAACACAGAGACAAGGGCCCACACTACATCAAACAAAACAACACGGTTGTCCTGCCCCCAGATCTGAAAAGAGGACAGTGATCCAACTTTTCAGACCCGAGTTCAAGAGGG